AAACACCTGCTGTGTTGACAAAGCCACCCTCCTGCTCCAGCAGCTACGGGGACTCCCTATCCGCTATCACAGTATGGCCTTCAGAGGTCACAACCTGGTTCCACTGCCTAACAGCATTTTGCTTTGCTCATTCATTTCTTTCTTTCTGTTTTGTTTTACTTCCTAGAATGAAGCCGCTGGTCTAAGTAGGCACAACACGGGGCTTCCCAGAAAGGATTCTTGCAACCTCAGTGTCTGCCGGGTACCTAGGAAAAGCCTCATAAGTGATGGCTGTGCTTATAAAGTTTTCTCTAACTTATTCCAGCCTTTTCCTCCCTTTCTTTAAATTCTTAATGTCTTAATAATCAGCACTGTACCATTTGGAATATATTCACACACTGATTTACTATTTTAGTGATTTAATTTTCTTAAACAGACTAAGTTCCCAGAGACCAAAAACCAAGCCTTATATTTTTCTGTGTTTTTGGAAAAACGCATGGCATATAGCTCGTTCTGTAAACAAGCTGACTTTAATTTATTATAATATGGGATTTGTAGTGACTTTATCTCCTACAGTTATATGTTTTTCATAACTGCCTCTTATAACAAGGTCTAATACACGATGGGCCTACACGGTTTCATAAACATGAATCGTACAGAAATCACCCAAGTCCACTTTAAAGGCATCTCCCATCTTTTCAAGTTTAGTTCATTTGATTTTTGATTTTTGCTTTTTGTTCTGTTTTTGCATTTTGTTCTGTTTTTGCATTATAAGGAAACTAGTGATTAGAGATTATTGAATGATTGGCCAAATGACAAGATAGAAAGCTAGCTGGTGGCCCCAGCAAACCAAATAAAACTGCTGGTCTCACATAAAACGAAGAATTGGGGATTAATCATAGCAGCAGTCTGTTAAAACAGGTGGATGTACTTCCCCAACATCTACAGAGAGAATGTAATATTACCATTTACTTTTTATTATAAGTGAAACAATCTTGCTTCGCCAGAGTTAAAAGTACTTTAGCAGAGATGAACTCATTTAATTTGACTGACTCCCTGGGAAGAAAGTTGGAGAACATATTAACTTCATGTTATACATAAAGATATTATCCAGACAGTTGACAATGTCAATATATCATCATGGCTCATGATGAAGCCACATCTGTCCACTGGACAACATATTGGATTCATAAACAAAGTCTGATACACAATAATTTTTAGATTAAAAAAAAAAAAAA